GGCAAAAGCAAGATAATTTTCTTTTCTACACAGCGTGCCACCCGGCTGTGGGGCCCAGCTAGCCTCCTACCCACTGGATACCGGAGTTCATTCCTCGGCAGTAAAGCGGCCGGGGTCTAAAACTGAACATTCAACTCCATCTAGTGCCGAGATCAAGAATGGTGGAGCTATACCTCCACACCCCGACACGTCTTCATGGAGAGGTGCTTAATTAATTAACCACTGGGACAACTTCACCTTCTTTTATCTTTTAAATTTTGATGATTTATACTCTTTATACGTGGCAAAAGGAAATAAGAAGTCTGTGCGAAGGAACTCTTTTGATACTGTTACAAATTTCACCTAGGCGTGAACTGGAAACAAGTGAATGCAGGTAGCTTTGTGTTTCGAACAGTGATAGCCACTTGTTGACTGTCAGCTGTTTCGTATTGATAGCTCTTTGTTGAAAAGCCATTTGGCGCAAATGATGTATTTGTTCATTTTATTGTATGGTATTTGTTTTTTTTTCTTGTGGAGTGAAGAGACGAAAGGACATTTTATGTCTCATTATTGTTTCTTGCTCCTTCATCCTACACGACATTAACCCATGGCTATAGGAGAAGAAGAGAGGTCCGTCTGTTTTGTTGTAGTAACTTTTCATGAAGCATTAAACAAATATGGTACGCGGACCAGTCCATTTCCGTGCTACGCTCGATAAAGTTCGCTCAGAAGCATTTTCAATTATATTGGGCCCATAAGACTTCCTAAGGGTCCCTCAACAAGTGATTTACACGGCTGAACACATACAATCGTACTGATATTATGTTACCCTTATAAAGCGATTGCTGTGATCTTCACTGCGGTAAAGATTCCTGTCTTCTGTGTTGTGACACAGTGCAGTCTCGCAAAGGCACCAAAGTTTTTGAGAAATATGCTACCATCGTCTTCAGTGTTGATATGTGTAGTTATTTCCCCTTGAGGCAACACTCATTTATCCGAGGTTTTAAAAAGAAAGGGCTGCTTTGTCTCATTCCTCTCCTATCCACAGGAATCTGTACTGATGGAAACAAAAATAATTTAGACGTAACAATATCTTTTCATGATCATTGTTTCTATTGGCCTGGATCGGGATCCATCTCCCCCCCCCGCCCCCATGGATCTTATTGCTCAATTTCCACTCAACATTCCTAGGTGATCCAAACAATACCTCACCGTATAAAATTAAACCCTGAAGGTAGAATTAATTACCGTCTAAGCATATCTAATCTATTTCCTTGTATTGATCACATGTTGTTAGATCCCCGACATGTTTCGGTTATACAAGACAATCTTCAAGGGGTGTGCCATATTAGAGGGAAACTTTACGATTAATATACAGTGCGGTCGCATTTAATGCGAGGGATCCTTTCCCTAAGACCTCGCATAACTCAAGACAAGTTTTGAAACACATACGTGGATTCTTGCCAATTTTTTCTTTTGGGGGAGGAGGATTCGCATTATTTAAAATCTTTATTAATATTGTCACGTGTTGGGTGTATAACGCGACAAATATCTTCATGCCGTATTTGATATAGCGAATTTTATTTCACATTCGCACTTACAATCACACAATTTACAGATTCGCAATTACTGCTATTTGCAGTATCGCAAATACTAGACTGCATACTCTTCCCTGGCCAACTCGTAACTAACTCGTAACTCTTGTGACTCACATGAATCGTCTTCGCTGTTCCTTATATAGCCTCGTTACGGAAAAAACAGAAAACAGTTACGTAATAGGCACCACTGTTGTCTGACGCCGTGTTTGCCGACAGCCTAGCAACACTGTCGGGAGTTGTTTACTGCTGAGTAGCAACAGTGGCATCTCGTGTTACGTCACCGCTGGGGAGGGAGGGGGTGTCCTCCATAGCGCAACACGTCACAATATATTGTAACGTGTTGGGTATGTGACGCGACAAATAACTTTACGCCGTATTAAATATAGCGAATTTATTCCACATTCGCTCTTACACTCACACAATTCACAATTACAATTACTGCCATTGGCAGTATCACAATTATATCCACTGCTCTCGCTGACTGCTAGATTGAAACTGACCTCGGCGACTTCACGATCCACACTGTGTCACTCCTGATCACACACTCTGCTCACACACTGCTCAGCCGGCTTTTTATACCGTTCCCTGTTGCCTCGTGCTAACAGCGGTGTCCCCTGTTACGTCACAGTGGGAAGTGCTGTTACGTCACCGCGCGGGAGGGGGACGGAGTGTTGACTGGCCTGTTACTGTAGCAGGGGCAGTTGCTCCGATGTTGTTACGTCCCCGCGGCAATGGGTGCCTGACACAGTTGCCCTTCTTTTACTTCACCGCGGAGGAGGGGTTGTTTACCGAGCGTTGCGTAATGATGGAAGGCGTGAGGGTATGTGACATCATTCGCGAGACCGCAGAGTTCACGTGACCCCTACTCCCTGTTGCGCCATCCATGTCACAATATATATATATTCACTCTGTCTTCAGTAGTCTTCACGTATTTAAAACGCGGGATCTATCCAAGTCTGTCTGAATTACCACTCCCAAGATAACTGTTCTACGGCACACATAAAATCTCGAAGTCACACAATACGTCTTCACTGGCTGACTTCTCAGTTATCGCACACTATCGCTTAAGATCTCCTTACCACACGTTCGGGTCGTCTTCCCGGGACTGCTGCTAATGTCGACTGTCTTCGGCGGCTGCTCGATCCGCACTGTGTCACTCCTCCTCACACACTGTCTCACATACTGCTCAGTCGGCTTGTTATACCGTTCGCTGTTGCCTAATTGTCTTGTTTACGGTGTTGCTGGGGAACGCTTCCGAGAGTTGCCTATTGCCGTGTGGCAACCGCGGTGACCCCCGCCACGTCACCGCGGCGGAGGGGGCGGAGTGTTGACTGGCCTGTTATCGTAGCAGCGGCAGCGGTGTTACGCCGCCGTTGGCGGGGGATGGGATGTCCTTCATAGCGCAATACTTCACTATATATATATATATATCGCACTGTTTCAAATTCGTATAATGTACGACAGCGCTCTATATACAATAACACATTTAAAATACCCTCCTCATACATAAATTTCTTATAAAAGGTTAAGACTAATATTTAGTTAATATTGTCACGCGTTCGAACAATTTTTCCATATCCATCGTGTGGCAGTATAATTCGTTTCAATAGTTTGTCCTGAGTTAAGGCATGTTTAAGTTCGTAAACAATTCTGACACCAGTGTAACGTGTCTTGAGTTGGAATCATGTCGGTCACGTGTGTAAGTCCAATCCCACTTCTGACACCAAATTGTCACGTGTTGGGTGTATAACGCGACAAATAACTTCACGTATTATTGGATATAGCGAATTTATTGAACACTCGCTCTTACAATCACACAATTTACAGATTCACAACTACTGCTGTCTGCAGTATTGCAATTATTAGACTGCAATTGACTGGTGACTGACTCTCTGGCTAACTCGTAACTCGTAACTCACTCAACTCATAGGCTGCTGCCTTGAGAACTGTCTTCGGCGGCTGTGTAGTTCCTTCATAAACCCTCAGCCGGACACGGGAAAAAGTTACGTAATAGGCACCACTGTTGTCGAAGCTGTGTTTGCCTGTTACGTAATGGGTACCGCTGTTATTACTGTCGTCTCTCGCAACCACTGTTTATGCGCTTTGCTTAGCAACCGCTGTTTACTCGCTTTACTTAGCAACCGCTATGCTTGGACTCGGCTCACTTCGACTCCGCTCGGCACGTCACGGCTGGCGGGGAGGGAGGGGAGTCATCCATAGCGCAACACGTCACAATATATTGTGACAGATGGGGCCGTTTCTAGGAAACGAATAGGTAAACAAGTTTCCAAACGTTCAAGAATAGACGCCCATTGCTATGTAACAGTTCTAGTACTATGATTCACTGCACGTAGTGTAACTTGACTGTTGAAGGCCGATATCCACGGCAACGAATTGTTGAAAGCACAGCAACGGAAGGACACGGTAAGATTAACTGTTGAGACTGGTGTCGCATGTTCAGTCGGCTGAAGGGTTATGTCAGACACAGAAGTCAGAGACACAAGACGTCAGAAGAAGTCAAATGTCAGCAGAAGTCAGAAGTGAAGTCTTTATTTTATGTGGTGTAGTTACAATAACCTCAAGAGTGTTAGCATTGTTCGTAGTTATGATGTGTTCTAGTTACAGTAAGACTGAAAGAGTTATAATTAATTGTAGTTCCGCCTGGTGAATATCCAATAAATCGACTCACCGAGCCAAACCGGCGTCTGAAATCACCAATACAAGTGAAAAAATATAAAAGCGACCGTCTCTGTGGTCTAGTAGTCAGAATTCATGGTTACAGGTTCAGAGGTCCCGGGTTCGATTCCCGGCGCTACCAGATTTTCTGAGAAGTAGTGGGTCTGGAACTGAATCCACTCAGCCTCGTGAGAATAACTGAGGAGCTACTTCAAGGAAATAGCGGCTCCGGTCTAGAAAACCGTGATTACCGGCCGTGGGGATCCGTTGCGCTGACCACGCGACATCCTCTATCCGCAGAAGTCACTAAATTTGCCGACAAAGGGCGGTCGCTCGGTCGGTATAGTTCGCTTGAGGACTACAGGCCACGGAGTTTGTTTTGTTTATATATATAAGCAATATTTACTGCAAGTCAGTTGATTAGATTTTTATTGTTGTCTCATACTCGTCTCTTTAGGCGTCAAGAGGTGGAGTTCTGATGTTTCGTCGTGGTTCTTGGTGGGTGAAATGTGTAACTCTATTAAAGTAACTGATGACAGAGGCAGCATACTTCCCCGAAACATTAATATCAGCCTAAAGGTGTCAAATCTCGCACGACTGCAGTTTTACCCATATGCTTCATACATACTAACGTGTCTAGCAACATTTCTTTCGGACTGCTGTCACAGAATACTGTCGCTCTCTGAGGAGGGCGAACAAAGCTACGGCAGAGAAATTCGGTTTAGAAACACGTCTGTTACCACTTACCCATCCAGTAGCATTTCTCCGTGGTTCTTAATCCAGTAGTTGATGGTGTTGGGAAACGCCTCAACATAACATTGCAGCTGTACGTCCGTCCCAAGCGGCGCTCCCAGGAGCTGATTCGGCACTTTGACGACCGGAGCAACTGCAGCACACAAATTATTCACTATCAGAATTAGCTGCTACACCAGCAAACACATACTATTATCCTCCAATGAAGAGAAGGCGAAGCAAGTGATGGGTAGAAGTGGTAGCCCTCGAGTATTCTACTATTCAATTAGAGACACTCTGACCTTCTGCCTAGCAACGGTAACGGTAAAATTCATCTGCAAATAATGCAGATACTTTCAACTCGTATAGTACATGAGAGCCTGGTTTTGTAATTGCCTCGCCTTAAATTAGTTGACGAGCAGTAGTTATTTAAGGAACGGATGCCACTACTGAGTTTGTTTGCCTATCCCTCATTAACCGAATGAAGCAAGGAATACACTGATACAAGACAAATAAAGTACTCCGCAGCTTCATTCACGTTGACACAACATTTTCTGAAAATTTACCACTCTCAATACAGCTGTGGCATTCTGGTGCGATTCTGGATTTCAGAACAATTCCTCTTTAGTCGGAGATCTCTTCCTGGAAACAGAGATGCAGGAACGGAACAACATAAACACGAAATCGCTCAATTCTAGGCTGTTTTAATTAAATTACATTGCCTTGTGTATATGTACGTATACATATTCTGCCTTAATATAAATTATTGCTCCTTCTCTGAGTATTCACAAAGCATGAGACATTCAAGGAGACATAATTATGCCTCGGATTAATTCAAACATGTAAGTGTATCTTCATGCTATCTAATATCTTAAGTCAAGGGGCCAATCTTGAACTAAAATTATTTTAGATATCCGTGTACATTTGGTCTGAGAAGGGGCATGTGTATCAGTCTGTTGTGTGTTGAATGCGCAAAACCAATTTCAGTTAGTTGCATTACAACCAGAAGACAACAGCAAAGAGGGGAAATGTTTCATTTGGAATTAGTAGAGTATTTTGTTAAAGAATTGATCTTAGAGACTAGAGTTATTGTTGTTTTTATTATGCCATTAAGCTCTCTTTCCAAAAAATGTAAAATTAATAACTTGAAAAATCGAAGAATTCACTTCGAAGTGTCTCTCAAGGGTTATGATTTATACAGCAGGTACATCAACAGAGGGATTAGCAGCACAAATCGTAGCTATAGAATGGTACAATCAACATTTACCAGTGGATTTTTCCCCCTTGGGACTACAGCCCCAGTGGGCCTAGCCCTACCTCCATGAACTTCTCCGTCACTTCGGTTTTTCTAGATCTTACACATTCGGTAGGAATCCTTGGGCGGGTGATCACCTCGTCGCAAGGCCTCTACCTGTACACAAACGCAGAAAAACGCACGCACACAAACTAAACATCCATACCCTGAGTGGGATTCGAACCCATGATCCCGGTTTCCAAGAGAGCGAAGACAGTACATGCCTTAGGCCGCTCGGCTACCGTTACCGGCTTACCAGTGGATTACCAACGGCAATTTTACTAGTACAGTTTACGAGTATATGTAGGAGATTCATAAATACACTAATAACAAGATGAAACAAAAGACTGTTAATACAAGAAATATTATTCAGTACTTAAAATTGTTCCAGTACGAAATCCGAAGAACCTGCTGCCATAGCAACATTGTCCCTCTTCTCCAATTCTGAGCATACCTAGATATACAGTACGTTCCCTTCAAACATCCCAAATTTTGATTAATCAATGTGAACAAATTGTGGTAAATTATGGATTATAATTAACACTAGATGAAAGAAAAGCTGAAAGAATTTTATTTATTAAGAGAAAGTGGAAGAAATTCGAGCGGGATTTAAGAGAAGCCCGAGGAAATCAATTCGCCAAGCTTCAAGACGTGCCGCCAAGAGTGCATCGAGTGCTGCATAAGTGGCTTCATTTACATTCCTATAAAGTGAAAATTGTTCGGCAATTGAAGCCAGACGACAAGCCGCGTCGACAGGAATTTGTTATCGAAATGCTGGATCGTATCGACACGAGCCCACAGTTTATTGGAAACATCTTGTTTTCAGACGAGACCACATTTTATCTATCAGGGTTTGTCAATCGGCATAACGTACGGATCTGGGGATCGCAAAATCCGCACGTCTACAGAGAACATATCCGAGATAGCCCAAAATTAAACGTTTGGTGTGGTCTAATGAAGGACAGGATTATCGGTCCGTTTTTCTTCGGCGAAGCTACAGCATATGGCTCCGTATACCTTCACATGTTAGAACAGTTCCTATATCCCCAGGTAGCTGATCTGCAGCCTAACATAATCTTCCAACAAGATGGAGCCTCCCCACATTGGGGTCTGGATGTTCCGAGGCCCCTCAATGCCACCATCCAAGATCGCTGGACTGGACGTGGCGGACCAATTCGATGGCCACCACACTCACCGGACCTCACTCCGCTCGATTTCTTCCTCTGGGTTTACGTGAAGGACCGTGTGTTCGTGACACCAGTGAATGACTTCCCAGATTTACGAGCCCGCATCCTTGAAACGATTGCTACTGTACCAATGGACATGCTGGAAAGAACGTGGCAAGAAATTGAATACAGATTGGATATTGTTCGTGCTACCAATGGTGCAAATGTAAAGATTTATTAATGTGTCAAATAATTTTGTTCAGTTATTCTTGTATTTCCTGTAGCGTCATTTTCCTACCATCCATAATTTCTGTTCTAAGGCCTGGTAAAATATGGGAGGTTTGAATGGAACATCCTGTATCTTCCATTTCCCATACCTCACTGGGCTAGATGTTTATATAATACCAAAGGACATTACCAGATCCAGAATTGAAATGAATTGTACTTTCATATAAAATGTGTAATCTCACTTATTTTCAACAAAACTTACTTCAATTATCAATGCTAGTTACTTGCAGTACATTATTAATTATATATCTGAAGTTTATCTTCCATGCTGTAAATATTTATTTCCTCCAATCACGAAAATAAAGACAAACGAACGTCAACAACCTGCTCTGTCAGGCTGCAGAGAGAGCCACTGGAAAACTCCCCAGAATCAGAAAATATTTTTATGTCACTTCGCTAAACATTTATCGTACCGGTAAATGTTTCCAATTAAAGTTATAGCTATGAATGAGATCGTATTTCATATCATGAATAAAGCTCTTTCGTACAGGATGCACCACAAGTTGCGTTACTTCCTTTATTATGTACTGTGTAAACATTACCAGACAACAAAAGAAATTAAAGAGGTCACGGCGCTCTTCGTAACAGTTTTGTTGATTAAGACACCTAACAGCATTGGGAGGAAACCGAACTGCCTAAAACAATCCTTCTATTACTATCATGGGCGGCTGCCTAGCTAAAGAATTGATATCGTTTCCGCTGGAACGTGTTTACCGAACCGTTACCAAGAAACGCATGTTCTTTCTCGCGATATTTGCACAGCAACTGTACTACATGCTACAATATTTCATTGTATCAGATTCGAGACTCCCCGATCCAGACCGGTCGGGGTGCTAAACTACTGCTGGCCTTCACCAGCACAGTCATTCTTAGCTTGAGCCTTTTCGAGATTCGAAGTCGAAGTCACATTGCGACTGACGGTCAGTCAGTCAATAAATCTTGGTGTCGAGCCCCATCTGGTGCTCATGACCAGATATTTATTACTGTTTGACATTTACGATCTTGCTTTTGTGGGGCGCCCTCTCTGACGAGCGGACGGGTCTGTCTTCTATATATGCTGCTGGTCTTTGCCAGCGCAGTCTTTCTCGGGTCCGAGTCCCTTAAGACTCGCGACCTCATTTTACTGTCTTAGATTTGAGACTTCCCTTTTCGTCGCCTCTTACGACTCACAGGGTCACGGTGGAGGTATTCGACTCCGCCTCCACACGGGTCTCGTTCATACGCCCGAGTCCAAGTCCCCGTATTGATATTCCCCAGGTACCGCGAGACCCAGTCGACTCCATATGTAACCTTGATGCGGACCGCATAGCAAACAGAGCTTCCAGCAGTTCCTCCATTTTTACGAGTGTATATTACCTAGCAACGACTATGCTATTGTTGCGGGTTTTCACAGCCGTTGCCTAGATCGTTTGTCATATCGTCAGGTAGAAATAAAATGTAAAGGATACAAAATTGGTTACATGAATAAAAGAAGGTTGTTTGCATGTGGTGATTAAAACGTAAAGCGTTATGGGAGGGGTAGCATGGCAGTGCGAAAATGAATAGAGCCGGTGCTAGGAAGTCCCATGAGATGTTAATTACTCTCACAATGAATGTTACCCCTCTAATTTTACATGTAGACCTATCATATATATATTATTTATATACACTTATTTATATGCAGTCCTTTTATTCCCTCTGGTTTTTGAGTTGCTGGGTTTTTATAATCTCTCTTGGGTCCAAGTATTCTCCTCAACACCCTGTTCTCAAACACCCTCAGTTCATGTTCCTCCCTTAATATCAGGGACGAAGTTCCACACCCATAGAGAAACAAAGGCAAAATTATAGTTTTGTATATTCTAATTTTTATGCTTTTAGACGGCAAATGTGACGACTTCTGTCCATATTCTGAACCGAATGGTAGCAAGAATTACCAGCATTCAATTTCCTATCAATTGTCTCCTGAATTAAATTTTAATTTGTTACTGTCTTTCCCAAATATTTGAACTGTCACATTTTCAGAGGATCTGTTATCTCTCTTTATATCATGATTCTGCCCTGCATTTTGGTGATGAGACAGCAACGGATACCTCAGATCTCACAACATATATTTAGTTTCCTCTGTGTTCACTTCTAGGAGAACATCCTTACTAGCGTCAATTAAAGTTTCTGTGTTTTTCTTTATGGTATTTTAAAGAAGCAGGATGAGGAGATGTGGATTCGATCTATCTGGCTCAGGACAAAGACCAATGGAGGACTCTTGTGTACGCGGAAATGAACTTCCGGATTCCATAAATTGTTGGAAATTTCTTGAGTAGCTGCACAATTAGCGGCTTCTCAAGAAGGGCTCAGCTCCATGAAGTTAGTCTTTTTATAATCTGACCAAACCATTATTCACTTTCCATGTCACGCCGTCTGGTCCAGTGC